TGTCTGAGTCATTACTACCATCAGTAGCAATACTGAATGGCTATCTCTGCATCCTAAAAGCTAATTTCTTCACAGTCATAGCAGATATTTCTAAAATGATAGCTGTTGCTATATATCTGCCATATTTTATTTCTGAAATGAATAAAATAAAATAATAAAGATATTAATGAAAATATCTGGTATGACAAGAAAATAATTATTCCTATGTCACAGATTATCTTAAAAATTGCACTCAGAAATTTGCTCTTTTTATTTTATTAAAACATAGCTTCTACGCCAGCTACTTGATTTTGGAAAAGTGATTTTGAATTTAATATTTGACCAAAAGATGTCAAGGATGTACTTTTACTCAGTGCTTCTTTAAAGGACTTACGGATTTTGGTTTCATAGTGTTTTTTGCAATCGTTTTGACGCTCAATAACTACAGCAAGTCGTTGAGGGGATATATTGTTAAAGGGATAGAGCTGCTTTGTGGGTTCTACAAATATATTTCAAATGCCACTAACTAGATATTAAAAAATATGGCAAAATCCAACTTCCCAGTACAAAACAGTTGGATAATGTATTTAATTTTAAAAACCATCTCCAATTTTCTCCGTTTTCACAAATAACGCGGTTCAGGCAAACAAAATTATTATGTGACAAAACTACATCACACTCCTGGTAACTGACAAAGGGGATGGTTGAGTTAAGTTATCGCTAAGGCAACTAGGCTAAATATTATTGTTGACGCATCTAGGTAGTTCATTGTGACACACAAAGCAGCAATATCATCACCATCAATACAATAATAGGTTGAGGTGAAATTTTTATTGCCTTTGACAATCCCACCTATCCCCCTACCCTAGCGTCTCATATGCCAAATCTCCTTAATCAACAATCCCCACTTCCCCTCTCAGTGCGTACATAATATAATACAATAAATAAAGGATGGTCTAAACTTTAACAAAAAATTACAACTAATCGTTTTTCTTGTTCCATTCACTCAAATCACTGCCAGATCTTTATTAGAAAGTGTTAAAACTTCAACAACCGAAAATATATTTTATTTTATTTTATCGGAATAAATTACTATAAGATTTTTTCACTTGAGTCTCTGAAAATCATAGTTCTGGCAGGTCTCGGTGTACAATCCAATCGTTAAAAAAATCTAAAAATAGTACATTGTATGCCAAAATCGTAGGAGTTAACAGGTCTGATGCACTAATACCCCCACCCCCCTTCCATATATCTTAATATATGTGCCAGCCTTCTAACACGCCTAGATAGGAAAAGTGAAGTACTGTAAAGTAAAGTGTAAAGACTAAAGTTAAGTAAAAGTTAAAAGTAAACAATAAAAAAACATGTGGTAGTAATCCTTTATTATTTATTAAATTAATTACTTAAGGCAATTTAAGCGCGATTAATTATTTCTAGTGATATAAAATTAAAACTTCCTTTTTACCTGATCGAACTAAAGGTCTAAAATAGCGTCTTTTTGTTCGAATACAATAACCATTTAACAAATTGTAAAAGATATTTAAAAAAAAGAGTACATTTCATGAATCTTTTGTCATTTGGGAAAACAAGGAGAACTCTTCTGTCTTCAAAGATTACGTTATAAAAGTTGCCCAATTGGATATATTTAGATTTAAATAAATTTGTTTTTATTTTATAACTTGATCTACTTTGATATTTCTTTCTAGCCCACTGTATCCACGCACAGCCATGTAAAGGTGGTACTCGCAAGGGACCTCAATATCAGAGGGCGCATTCGCCCAAGGCGCTGCTTTTCCTTTGCACGGTCGTGCATCCATTACGGACGTAACGCGGCTAGAATTTTGAAGGTGGGGGTTATGTGGGAAATGTTTGTTAAAACTTTAAATAAATTGTCAATTTCCTTTCTTAAAATTTGTGACAGTTTCAATTTCTTTCTCAATAAATAGCTTGTGATTTACTAAGACTAAGAGGCGAGAATTGGGAAAGTAATGAAATATATGTCAATAACGAAGTAAACACCATTGCAAACAGATTACTAACAAAACAACACGGTTCCGTCCAGATACATAAAATCACTAACACTGCCTCTCATTTTACTCATCACAAATCAGAGTCAACTTAGGTGCCATCTAAATAATTAAGTTCCACGTATCATATTAGAGCTGACCAACCACAGACCATTTAAATAACTTATTTGCCTACTATGACTCACAACTGTCAAGAAAAAGTCAATCCACTTGCATAGGAAGGGGGCTGTGGTGAGGTGGTCCAAACAGGTGCCACATTTTTAAAATTTATAAAGAGGGGCGGCATTTTCAGCGAACTGAAGAGTTTTTTTTTTTTTTTAAACTTAGTGGTAGTGGGTGGCACAGCTCTCTAGTTAACATATCGTAACATAATCCCTGGTCCGCTCGTAACGTTCCCAGATCTGCTCATTACGAGGACATGTGACATATCAACCAACGCTTGGACATTGCTCGCTCTCTGTTGTTCGTGGAATTCTATTACTTACGCGAGTCTCTCACTTCGCATCTTTTTTTGCCCAGGTGCTGTTTCCCTGATCTGGTCAGCTGATTACCAAAGTCATTCTCTGATATACTAACGTAAAGGAGAAACGTCGGCATAGCTAGAGTGACGTGGCCTCCACAGCCTTGCCATGTTTCTGTTAGTAAAGTGTGGGCAGCAACGCAGTCGCCGCGGCTTCCCGTGTATAGGTTTACTAATTACTCTAAGCAGATTTCTGATCGTTAATGCTGCATAAACTTGTTGGTTTATGTCCCCTGCGGTGACCTTACATATGAACGCAGGACAAGTAAACCCACAACAACTCACCATAAGACATCCAAACACAGGACAAGTGAACCAACGGACAAATTAACACGCAGAAAAGTGAATATAGAACATAAACAGCTTAACACAACAATTGGGTAATCGTCCGAAAAATGTTTTATTATATTTTGCATAATTAGTATGCAAACTTCATTTTTACCTAATGGAACTTCATTAAAGCACTTCATTAGTTACTATAACATGCATTAATTGTTTTCCAACTATTTTGTCATGTATTCTCATTCGTTTTAAAGTAAAGGGATTTTTAATTTTTTTAAAATCAATCCGATTAGTTTGTCTTTCTGTCGATGTGTGGCCAGATTTTTTCACGTTTCCCCAGTCTCAGATCAAAAGCAATATTGATACGGTTAAATTAACTTAAACAACCAGATGCAGAGCCATTATCTGGGATGTAGGGACCGGGCTCTCTCGGGTTTTAAAGGGAAGTTCCCGTCGTGATGCCCATACTCCATACACTGTAGGCCCATTTGATGTGGTCTGTGCCAGTCGTGGTATGAAGGTTAAAAACCCATTGCTTAGACTTAAGGTGTTAGAGGTTGGGGGGAGGGGCTTGAGGGAGGGATGGGGCTGGAGGTTGGGGTTAGCTTGGCTAAGTGGTGGAGTTAAAACTATTAAGGGAAGCGTTATACGCAGTCTGGCTGCGTATAACCCTGAGAGTTATTCCCAGTCGACTGCACATAACACTTCCCTTAATAGTTTTAAAAATCATGAAGACGTATGGATGCCCAGACAAGTTCACCAACATCATCTGTCAACTTCATAATGGCCCAAGTGCAGGACAACGGTCAGTCACCTAAAGCATTCCCTGTCACAAACGGTGTGAATCAGGGCTGTGTCCTGGCTCCCACACTCTTCAGTAATATGTATTCTGCAATGCTGTCTGATGCGTTCAAGGACTCCACCACGGGCTTGCCAATCCGTTTCCGCGCCGATGGATCACTCTTCAACCTGAGGAGGTTAAAAGCCAATGTCAAACATAACTATCAACGAGCTTCTGTTTGCCCTCAATGCTGACTCTGAAGCCACCATGCAACAAAGCGTTGATATCTTCTCTGAGGCCTGCAACAACTTTGTCCTTACAATCAACACAAAAAAGACTGAAGTGATGTATCAACCAGCTCCCATTAAGCCCTACGCTGAACCCAGCATCACCATCAGCGGACAGCGTCTAAACCCAGTGGATAAATTTACATACTTGGGCAGCACTCTCTCCACAACTGTCGTGATGCATGATGAAATGAATGTCAGACTCGCAAAAGCTAGTGCAATATTTGGCAGACTCCGAAGCACTGTATGGAAGAGGAGAGGTATTAGACGAGAAACGAAAATCAAAGTGTATAGCGCAGCAGTCCTCTCGAATTACTATACGGATGTGAAACGTGGACAGTCTACCAGCCAAGAAACTAAACCACTTTCACACAAACTGCCTCAGAAAAATCCTTGGCATCAGGTGGCAAGACAAAGTGCCTGACACGGAGGTTCTTGTTAGAGCGAACTTACCTAGCATCTTCACCACCCTGATCAATCTCAACTCCGTTGGATGGGACACGTAGCCCGTATGGAAGACAACCGGCTCCATAAACAACTATTCTTCGGTGAACTCATGCTAAGCAAGCACTCCCAAGGAGGTCAAAGAAAGCATTACAAAGACTCACTGAAAGCGGTACCAAAGGCCTTCAGCATCAACCCAATTGAATGGGTGCAGACAGCCCAGGACAGAGCCAGGTGTAGATCAGCTGTCAAGAAGGGGGCTCAATCTCATGAAGCCAGTAGGAGAGTCACAGCTGAGACACGCAGGCTTGCCAAAAAACGCAACATTAGATCATCAACTACAGCAACTATTCCCTTCCCACGGTGCAAGAGACTATTCCGAGCATGGATCAGACTAGCAGGCCACCAACGAACTAACCGTGACCCCCCACCTCCCAGAACCGGATGACTAGATGGTCCTAGTGGACCTTGATAGATGAACAACAACATTAGGTAGTCTCAGATATATACACAGGCAGTCTCAGATTTATATGCATGTATTCTCATATATATTCACTGGCAGTCTCAGATATATATATGTAGACAATCCAGGCTAGTGCGGCGGTCACTGTTGTATTGTGCAGATATTTTTTAATGGGAAGATCTCATTACACGGGTAGATTTTTATAACAGATCTTGTTTAATGAGTCAGTTTTATGCAACACCAGGTAGTGTGGACATTGCTAATTACACAAGATATTATTGTTGTTAACCTTACTACTATTTATTAATTACTATTTAATGTCAGGAGATACACAGTTAAATAACTAAATTTTCCACCATCTCTTGAGTAAATTATTTTGTGTACCCAACAAAACTAGCACTGCTATCAAACAAAACACATGGTTTAGCTACGCAAATATTTTTAATAATTTCTGGGTTATCATCAAATTTTTCAATAAAATAAGACATAAATAATGAAAAATTGAAAAAAACTAAATCAAAATGATTAAAGGCCAGTCACAGCCTCTGTTCTGTTTACATTTGTTTTTCTTAAGTTTTGGTCCAAGAAGAAAATAATTCTCTGCCAGCTGTCCTTCTGGGCAACTGAGTGATGTTTTTCATCACCTCCCCATAACAAGTACATCTCTGAAACAGAAGTTGAGATTTAAAAAAAACCAAAATATTGCAAGAAGATTGTTGGGTAAATATTTGATGATGTGACATGTACACATGTCTGACATATGGCATGATTATATGTCTGACTTATGGCATGGTTATAATTATAGCTGATGATATGAAATAATGTTATGCCTGACAAAATAAATGATTATGGAAAATTACGTAAATGGTTAACACCTACTGGAAATTTTATTATAACTTGCTAGACAGCGTGGAGTATAAGGTGGTTCCAACATGTGTCCTGCCCCAGGGTAAGTAATTGATGAAAAATTCAACTTGAATTCATCTGGTATGTGCTTCTTATAATTGTCCAGATTGAATGGATTTATAGATTGGTCATCCAGACATTGAATAGCCAATATCTTAGCACCATGACGCCAACCCTGTAAATAGCAAATATCTTAGCATTGTGTTGCCAACCCTGTGAATAGCAAATATCTTAGCACTATGACACCAACCCCGTGAATAGAAAATATCTAAGCAGCATGTAATGTGATATCTAGGTATCTTAAAAATCTCTACTTTACTGTAATGTAAAATATGTCTTAGTAAATCTACTGCTAATGATCACAGATCAATATTACTTGATCATCCTTTCAAATCACTCAATCATCTTAACAGTTGCAAAGGTGAGAAGCTTATACATTTTTCATGTAGGCTACCATGATTCTCAGAATTGTTTTCTTTTCCAAGTTACTGTATCGAACAGTAAATAATTTTTAATCCAACTTTCTAAAATTTAATTTTTCATTTAATTTTTACTTTGTTTTAAAATGCCCTGTTCCATTCACTGAAGAAGTCTTGTAAAGTCAATATGTTTTTTCAATTTAATACTGTTTAGTAAGTCAGTAAAACCTACTTACCGGACATGTTGGGCAACAATAAAATCTACTTAACGGGCAGGCTGGGGCAAAAATAAAACCTACTTACTGGACAGGTTGGGGTAACATCCTGGGGTTGAAACATTTCCCTGAAAGATACAAAGCCATCAACGATTTTGACTTTATCCAGTTGGAAGGTTATTGTGTCCACAACTTCCCCTTCTATGGTCTGCTTAGATCCAAAAGGTCTTGCTATACCATTTATCATGACTAAACATTTGACCTGCCTTGGGGTTAGAAATATCACAATAGTAGACCAATAGATATTTGACCTGAATTTGTTGTCAAATATGGCAGCAAACACAAAAAATTCTTTAAATTAGTTGAAATGGCTTAAGGTCAGGGATTCCTTTCCCTTTTTTGTGCAGAGGGCCACATTGGTGGAAATAGGGAAATTATTTTTTATAGGAATGTAGAGATCTAAACATTAAAACTGGATCAAAATAAAGTTAGGATAACTAACTGATTATTCAGCCTCAGAGAGTGAAATCTGCAGAATAGAGGTTGGAAATATATTCCGAGCTTATGAAATCAGTGGCTTGTTGGCTCTGCCAGATTATTTGGAGAAGAAAGGGTCTATTTCAAATATATGATATGTCAAATATATATGGCGTTTTAAAATTCACTCGAAGTTTAGTTGGAAAATAAGCAGTTGAAAATATTATAAATTTGCTGTGCTTGTTATTTTTACAGCTTCAAAATTTTACACTGAGACCATTAATGTTAAAGGGTTTTACAGATAATCATTCACAGTTTGAACATTATAAGAAAACACTGATCCACTTCATAGAAGGTCTTGATTATAAGTTTCAGCGGTAACATGAGGCCTGTCAGGCCCTAGGTGTGCCCACCCCTGATTTAGATAATGTAGGGACATTTTTGTTTGCTTTCCAACTAAAGTAAAAAAATAAGTTAGTAACAAAACTAGATTGCCAGACAATTTATAAACAAATTATTTTACAGTAGAACCTTTATTAATCCACGAAATATTCATTGTAATAAAAGTAAACACAGTTTAAATAAAGGTAACAATTGTATCAAAGATTTGATTTTGAATGTTATTGTTAATTTTTTATTTGGTCAGACATTACCCCACAGAGCTTTCATTCAAAAATAGCATTTATATTTAGTACAGCTGGATTACAGACCTAACATCTTCATTTTAAATTTAATTAATTGGTTCTCAATCTTTCTAATGCTGCAACACTTTAATACAGTTTCTCATGTTGTGGCGACCCCAAACCACAAAATAATTTTCCTTCCTTGAGTATGTGTTTTCCCGATGATCTTAGGTGACCCCTGGGAAAGGGTTGCAACCCACAGGTTGAGAACCACTGCTTTAATTATTTTTTAGTTGCAAGGTACATAACTCACAGCTGGTCTCCTGGATGCAATAAATTGCTGGTAGCCTGAACCCACACACGTAGCCACGCCTCCCAGCCTGTTGGGATCAACCTTTGGATGGGACGCCAGCCAATCAAAAGCTTTCTTTAAAAAAAAAAAAGTAAACATTTCAATGAAACATAAATCCCCAAGTCATTTATTTTATTTTATTTTAATTTTTAAAAAAACTTTTATTGATAACACCGGACAACATAAAGAAAACAAAATCTAATAATGCGATAACCATGTCCAATCTGCAATCTATCCATGAAATAACTATGATATCAGTACAAGTTGTACAGCATTTATCAATTCATTGATTATGTTACTGATGCAGCATACATCATTTCAGTGATTATGTAACTGGTATGAACATGGAACAAACATATTTATCAAGACATTAATTATGCACAGGTACAAACAAGAAAGTAATTAAAGTCCAGATGATGCTCTCTCTGTGGAAGTCCAGGAAGATCAACATAACCAAGAGTCAATGAGGCAAAGCCGTGAGATGCCAGCAGTGCTGACCTCAACTCAATGATTCCACCACTAAATCCAAACATGTCCAGCACAGCTGGGAATGGACCTGGTCCTGTCGAGCAATGAAGAGTTATCTTTTCTTGCAATTCTAAGCATCTTTCATCACACTATTGCAGGGAAAAAAAATAGCTATTTAATTTTTAACACAAGGATTAACATACAGAGAAGAAGCACATTTACTTTAGAGCGATTATTTAGATAAAAACTAAAATAATAAAATCAATGTATTTTATTCCTGTTTTTTGTAAACTTACAATTATATTTATATTTACCTGGATAATATATGTGGTGCTTTTGAACAACTTAGTTTCTGTCTCTAACAAAAAGGGCTTCCATTTCTAAACATATAGTGATTTGTTCCCAACAACTTGAGATCACTAAGATCTTCTAGAACATAGGTTTTTTTAATTCTAATTCTTTTTGTTTCTAATAATTTGTTGTTTCTTTTTTTGTCATGTCTGTTGAAAAAAAGGCATTGAGACAAAATTTTCTTTTAAATGTACGGCCTTTCAATTTCAAGCCTATATATATCTTGTTCAAATATGTCATAATATTTACCTGGTGGGGTGAAAAAAGTTCCTTGAAGTTCATTGATTTTAATTGGGAACCTTTGAACTCCTGATGTAACATAGGAGCGCTGTAGCTGACATGATGTAAGACAAGGCAAATTGTCTGACCAAGGCAGACTGTCGAATTCTTTAAAGTCATCTTGTACGGCTATGGTCACATCATATGGGGACATAATGTCTGCCTTTAAAAGTCTGCCAGGTTTAACCCCAGGCGTCGGACGTGCACTCCAGAACAATCCCATGGGTTCCACCCCTGGAAAATTGGGATTAAATACAACATATAAATAATCCCATTTGCTCTAGCACTGGAAAATTGGGATTAAATACAACATTAAAATTATCCCATTGGCTATAACACTCGAAGATTGTAATTAAAAGCAAAATAGTAATAATCCCATTGATTCTAACCTATTGGCTTCATAAGAATTGTGGACACAGTCATCTGCAAAGAGAAGATCCCAGATGACACAGGAGAACTGGAGCCTGAATAATGTTGGTGGACTTAAACATCATGCTTCACACTATTTGTAACTGGGGATGATGGGGACGTCTATTCACCGTCACAAAGTCTATCCTGCCATTCATCTTGGCATTGCTTCACCATGGATATAATTTTCTTTTGGATCTATATTTGCACATAATTTTCCAAAATGTTGCTCTGCTTATGGTGTCAAAGGTTTTTGCTAACATTCACATACAATGGAGATGTCGCTGACATTCTGCCTCTCCTAAAGGGACTGTGTCAAGTTCAACAAAATCCTGGCATCAAAAGCAGGGATATACTTTGGTGGTTGTCTCAGGTCTGGCAGTACAGGTGAACTAAAGGCATCTTTAAAATCCTAGAATATCATACTCTTGCTGTTACATCAGTAGGAAATTTGAAACCTTAGTTTTACCCTTGGATATTGTCATTATAACCATAGTTTTAACAGTGTGTCAACATGATAATAATAATTTTACCAGTGAATATCATCATTTTAACCCTAATTGTACCAGTGATATCATTATTATAACACATTTTTACCAATGAATGTCATCATAATAACCATAATTTTACCAGTGAATGTTCCCCCCTGAGACTGATCTCTACACGTGTCCACAGTCCCCTGACAGTCAGCTGTAAAATGAGCACAAGATCCAAATGTTTTGTCTCCTTCTTTCATGTAGGTTTGTATTGTTATCTTCTGTCCTTGTTTCAATCCACTGACTCTTATGTTGACTTCTTCATCAATTAAAACTGGACTTTTGGACACTTTTATTTCAGGACATGATGTTGATAAATTACATTTATAGATCTGAGGAAGAATAGGAAATAGGATGAAAAGCGTTTTATCATTGATAAGAACAAAGCGGGTAAGCAATTCAATATAATAATACAGGTTAAAAAAAATGACATTTTTTATTTCTATAATCTAAAATATAAGACAAATAGATATCCTAATATTTATCATTCTTAGGAATTGATTTGGAAAATATTATATGTTTGAAAGTATATGCTATTAAACCATTTTTTTAAACATGCCAATATGAGTCAGATATTTTTTTTAGTCTACACATGATGTCCTGGAATGTTTTTGATGATTTCACATATCCTACTTAGTTCAGAGTTTTTCACTTGGTCAACTACATCCCATCCAACATGTGATGTCAAACCATTTCCTCCCCTTTTTTTTGGTCACCTCCTCGCACATCTTCATATTTTTTTAGGCACCATCATCACAAATATTTAATCCCTTCTGTCATAATGTGTGATGTCATTTATGAATAGCCCCAAACAACGAAGGTCTTTTTTAAAAGTGAAAACTAAATGAAATAAAAATCATTAAAAAAAAAAAAAGTTTTGAAGAAAAAAATATGTATAATGCAACACCTTCCCCCCTCTCCTCCACCACAACTCATTCAATTAACTGTTTTTTTGGTTTTTTTTTAAACTGACTTGATTCCATTGCTTCTGAAATTTATACTGATGAGACCTTGACCTTGCTGTTATACATCTTAGGACCTAAATAAAATATAAGAAAGGAAAAAAGTGTTAATTTGAGTGTATAATCTATAATAATAAGGCCGAATATAATTATAACATTCATAATTTCTGGAATACAAAGTTTATAAATTCCAGATCACTTGAGAATGGGACACAGAAAAGAAGCACTTTGAATTTTTTTTAATGAATTGTATTTTTCAAAAGTACCTGTACTACTTTTTGTTCTAGATATTTTCAGTTTTTGAATTATATTGTGCAATCTGCATAAAAACAACCAAGTAATTATTAATTCCTTTATATATATAAATACTGGTTCTCAACTTTTCTAATGCTGCAACACTTTAATACAGTTCCTCATGTTGTGGGGACCCCCAGCCACAAAATTATTCTGTTTTCCGATGATCTTATGTGACCCCTGGGAAAGGGTTGTTAAGATAAATTAGTCTTCTAAGCTGTGCTTCTCAGCCTTGGAGAATAGGCCTACATGATATATTAGTCTTCTAAGCTGTGCTTCTCAGCCTTGGAGCATAGGCCCAACATACTCAGTAAGACACGCTGTTCTCTGTAAATCTTCCAAATCTATGCCTATCTATATCTTGTGAAATAGTAATTTTACTCTGGTAGGACTAATCATATATATATATAACAGTGAATGTTTATTTGTGGCGGGCGGTGTTTGTTCCACAAAGGCTTTTAATACATGGATTGATGGATCTTGACCAAACTTGGCACATATATCCATCTTTATCCGGAAGGAACTTAAGGAGTTATGAACTTTTTATAACATTCCGTTTAGGGCCGGGGGCCCCGAATTCGTTTTTTTCCTTATATGCGCTATATTATATAAATAAAATTAACAACAAATACTCCAATACGAATGGATGGATGTCGACCAAACTTAGTACACATTTACTTGATTATCCATATTCAAATACCCAAGGGTATTGAACTCATAATATCCATCCCTCTAAGGCCGGGGGCCCCGTTTCATTTTTTCTTATTTAAGCTATATAAATATTAAAAGGCTTAAACAACACATTAGGTTCAATATGAATTGATGGATCAATGCCTAGCTTGGTAGCAATACCCATCATTGTCCGTATTGAAATAACGGTGGATTTAAAACTAAGAATATCCAATCTAGAATTTCCCAGAAAGTTCCATAATTTTAAAAAGCTATATCTATGGTATTTTGAACCGATTTTAATGGGACAAATTTTACATTTTAACTTTATTATTTAGCAGAGGATTTTTATAGGGCCCCCTATCTCAGGCATAACTAAATCGGTACAGTTATGGAATGGGCCCCCAGGGGCCCCTTGATTGACTTAAAAGAAAAAGGATTATGTTGAAGATTTTTATTGTATTTAAAAAAATAATTAGAAAAGTAGTTTTTACACATGTTTCGAGCAGGTTATTAAATTTAATCAAGAATATTCCAGAAAATTCTAAATTGTTACAAGGAGATATATAGTGGGTTCTAAGGGATTATTGAAAATGTTAGTTAGTTCTTTTCATTTCTATACTGCCCTGGAGTTTACTGTACTCTCAGTACCATTGAAGAATTTTTTGATACGGGATCCCAAATGGGTTGGGACCCCATCATAATCTTTATCCCAACGGGATCAGGATCGCACAAGAAAATGAGATCCCATCTGGATCGGGATCCTAACCTTGAATGGATCCGACGGGATCGGGATCACACCAGGAAATGGGACTGCGCCGAGATCGATGTCAGAATGGGATTGGGGTCCCAATGGGATTGGGGTCCCAATGGGATTGGGGTCCCACCAGGATCGGGGTCCTAATGCAATCCCGTGCAACGCCGGGTAAATTGGCTAGTCCTAAATAAAAATTAGATCGGTCTACTATAAACATTTAATTTTAATATTAAATACCCATTTCTTCTTCTCTTGTATTTGAGGGCTCACAATCAATTTATTGATCATTCTGGCTCCTGGTTTGAATTCAGAGTTTGCCTTCTCTTGGACTTAGATGGGTTGCAGTCCAAGGCACTAAGGCAGCGGTTCTTAACCTGTGGGTCGCGACCCCTTTAGGGGTTGCACGACCCTTTCACAGGGGTTGCGTAAGACCATCTTAAAACACATTTACTCTACAGTTATGAAGCATCAACGAAAATAATTTATGGTTGGGGGTCACCACAACATGAGGAACTGTATGAAAGGGTCGTGGCATTAGAAAGGTTGAGAACCACTGCACTAAGGAGTCCCATCCATCCATTTCAATAGAATAATAGTGAAATTAAGTCGTTATAATTTCAAGTTCCGCAGCCCAAATTAACAAGTACCTAATTATCAGAGTATCAACGACCATTTAGCTTAAATTAAATGCAATGTAAGGGTAAGTAATTATTAGGCTATTTAGAATTTAGTAACAGTATCAGTAAAGCATCCAACTCCAACTAGACCTTAGACCATACTTTCATAGTCGAGTGACCCATTCATTATAAAGAAGGCAACGTTTGTACTTAAAAAAAACGAAACTCATTTGTTACCTGCATGTTTATCCCTTGAGACGAGCGTCACATATCATTTGGGGATGTTGTCAATGGAGCTGCATATTTATTTATAAAGGCTTGCCTACACATCTTAATTGTTGGCATGACCCTTGAATCATCCCCCACCCCAACCCCTTTTAAAATTTCAGGGGAAACAACTACAATATTAATAAAAACAAGTGTTAAAGTGTGAGTTCCCTTGACAAAGCAGTATTTTCAGATTGCAAAATTATAAACGTTGTAAATCAAAATTAGGCCTAGATCTATATATTTTTAAAAAAGAAAGAAAGAAAAAGGCAATACTAATAAAGTAAATAAAACTGATAAAATACCGGCCAGATAATGACTTCGAAAAACATTCAAGTACCTTGGTACTAAATTTAAAATTATGGCATGGCCATGATGTGCGAGTTAACCGAGTAACCCTCCTTTGTCCACTATCTAAAACTAGAATTGTATAAATGGTCAATAATAGACCATTCGCAACTGCTGTAGAGTAAGAAGGGAAAACATGGTGGTGATTCAACACTTAATCTGATGGTGGAGCAAATAAGTTTGGAAGAGGCAGTGGAGCAATCAAGTTTGATAGATCAGGAAAGATTGGTGGAGGCTGTGGGGCATGCCTGTTGGTGGATCAGAAAAAGTTGGTGGAGGCAGTGGAGCATGTAAATTAGGTGCAGGATGTAAAACATGATCCACTTATGAATCTCTGTGGATGCAATTTTAAAAAATGTGTCACCTCTATTCGAAATAAAAAATAAAATGTCATAGTGTGGTGAAATAACACATGAACTCAGTACAAAATTCTTGTGGGAGTGGTCGTGACATGTTAGGTTTGATTTAAAAGTTTTTTTTTTTTAATTTGTGCTGTTTAAATCTCAGTTTAGATTGGAAAATTTCATATTATAATTAAATCAATGTTATTTCCTGCATCGCTGTATTTGTCTCTTGAAATATTTAGAATTATATAATTTATTAATTTTCCCTTTGACTTTGTTTGTCAAAGCATGAACTATTTTTGTGGTGCTAGAGCATAAGTGCGTTGTCAAGATACATGAATCAGAGCGTTTGGTGTTAACGCTTTTGGATCATGAGGTGTGAGTCTGAGATGTATTATACTATAATTTATAGTTCTAAATGTGATTGGTAAATAGTTAGTTGTCATTTGCTGGTCCAACAATTTGGAACGCCCTTCCTGTCGATCTTAGAAACAACCAGACACTGGAGTCCTTTAAAACAGATCTAAAGACACATCTATTTCGCAAATACCTTCTGGGATGATTGTCTACCTTATTTTCCATGTGTTGCTGTGTTGCTCCGGGTTGAAATGGCTAGAAAGACTTTGACATTGTATGCTTGTAATTAGTTTTTGTAGTGTTGTGTTTGTTTTAAATGTGGTGAATTATAGATATGTTTTTTGTTGACTTTGTACCGCGCTTCGAGCCTTTGGGGATGAAGCGTGTTTTTTAAATGAACTTTATTATTATTATTATTATTGTTAGTTCTGGCCATTTGTTGACCGTTTGTTGATCATGCTCAGTCACAGTGTATTGTGTTGAGAGCATGCTAGTAGTGTTGTGATGAATACTAGGTATTAGGTTTCTCAGGATTTCCAGTCCTCCATATAGGACAATATTGCCAGTGTTGATGAGAGCCAGTAGTGTAGGGCTCATCAAAGTTAATTATTACAGTACTCTGAGAACTTGTATCTGGTTTCATGAAAATATTCAAGTAGAACTGCAGTATTTCATTAAATGTTGCTGCTGCTGTTGCCCACAGCAAGTGTTGGGGGGTACTTTAAGTATTAAAGTATTTCATGGATGTGTCAGGGACCCAACCATAGAAATTTTTCATGCGTGTCTACATCCAATAATTTCCTTAACTTTGTTCTGATCAGTATATTTTATATGTATAATTTCTATCACTAAGCAATAATTTATTCTGTGCCAGATCCATCATTAATGATTTACCCCAACAATGCAATACATACCATTATTAATGGTGCATTTATAAAAAAATGACTAAACTGTCATTTTTATAACATTTTTAAAAAGAATAGTAACTGTTGCCATTAACCAATAACAATTGTTGGAACCTATGAAATATCGCTATCCTCTATATATTTGATGATCCACATGTTTAAGCTTTACACTCTTGATTATAAATATCGTACTGTTCGAAAATCGGCCACTCGTGATTAGAAGCCAAAGTCTCATTTCTCATTGTTCACATATATAGGCCTACTTGTATTTTTATTTTGTATTTTTATTTTATGCAACTTCAGAAGATTAAAGACTTTAATAAAGTGGTATTAAACTACCTTTAAATCAATATAAATGTTTATAATCTGAATATAGTTTTTGCTAATTATCAATCATGTGAAATCTGTTTTCACATAATATTTCATCATAAAAGCATGACTTTTAAAGTAGGGCTAGGTTTCATTTATGAATTGCAAGATGGCATCATGCTTTAAAAAATATAGTTATTTTCATAATTTAAAATGTACTCGATTTCAACCATATATGTTGAGCAAGATAAAATGAAAACTTTGTGCCAATAAAAATAGTGCAAGTTTCATCAATTATTTTTAAATCAAAAGCGTTTATTTTCTATAAATCTGCTACTTTTGCAAAACAGTTACTGAATAACAGAGTTAAAAAAAAATAATTAGCCTATAATTATTAAATTCCCAACTGCTTTTCTCTTTTAATATTAGAATAATAATAATAATAAGGGTTACATGCAACAAATGATGGCTGTGAGGACAAGTGACACCTCATCTAAATTGTTAACTAGCATCTACCCCCTTGCTCTCCAAATAAGTGTAGAATGATGCAAAACTAAATTCCGGTATGTGCTAAAATGAATTCTTGTATTTTGAAATTATGAAAAATTTACTGGGGACTATAAATTATAAAGATTTAAGGGGTGAAAATAAGCTAGGGCAAAAAGCATATCCCTAATAGTGTAACTACTAGAAGCAATGTTGGGCCGGGGTGGGTTAGATATGTATGCCGATTTGTAGATTTATTTGCAAGAAATACAGACTTTATGTATAAGCCAAAATACATATCTTCATTTTCTATTAAATAAAATTTTCTAAGGGGATCCATGGCCCATGCTTTTTGCACACCCTTAATTTCTGCTCCCCCTTCCCTCGCACCAGCCAATGTGACAGTAATGGTTTTAATCTAAGCTTGTGTCAAGTGATTACCCTGAGGCGTGCCACAACCAGAGTGAAATCAGCTTATTTAGGGCACTGGGCACCATTATGCCTTCCCTGGATGTTTGAAAAATTCCTTCCCGGATCAAATAGACTAATAGAAATTGAAACACTGAATTGAGGTATACTCCAAAATGCATCTCTTTATTTTAAAATAAGTACAAACTTTCTGGGGAGTGCTTGGCACCAGGTGACAAGATATGGAATATCATTGCCCATTATTTTTATCCATTAAATACCATCAAAGCCCATTTAGGCATACCCGCTAATCTGGATCCCAGGAAAATCTACCCCCTCTGCCCCTCCCCCTTACCCACTGACACTATCCATCTGAAAATCTAAACAGCCCCCCACCCCCTACCTCCCCCCCCCAAACCAGTGAAAATCGTCTGAAAGAAAACTGCCTACAGTTCATTCACAGCTATTAATCTTATACCATATTTTGACCATGGATGCTATACACCTACCTCCATAAGAGATAATAAAACCCATATAAAATTGTGCTTGTAAATTTGATTTTAAGGGGTCTCTCATCAACAAATATGCACATATATATGAATGACCTGTATCACAGTTTTATGGTCATAATTTCAATAGAACAGTAACAATAAACATATTACCAAATGGCCTTTTTAATGGACAGTGCAACATATTTACTACTACTACTAGTATAGTAGATTGTATAGTGTTTCTGATTTTTACAACAGCACTTATAACTCCCTCTGATAATACACATTATTTTGTTAGTTTTGCAAGTTGTCATCCAAGAATGAAATGATTTTAGACCAGCTGTCCTCCTGAGCCTGGGCATGCTGTTTATCATGACCTCCCCACCACAAGTTCTTCTCTGAAACAGAATGGCCCTTATCAAGATTTCAAATAACTTCATTTAAAAGAAACAAGCTTGCAAACAAAAAAAAATTATTAGAGAATACATTTTCTCTCTAGAGTTTTTAAGTAGAAGAGTAAAAAGTAGGGAATGATGTAATCAGTTTTTGTTGTTTCGAAAAAAAAAAATTTTTTTTTTAAACTTTGCACATGAATGGAAATAATTTTACTTTTATGTATTTAAAATGTATGCAACTAAATTAATGATGCTTAATTTTGTTAAGGCTTTTAAACTGTTGCATAGGCTTACTAAATATTTTATTATAACTTGCGTCACAACGTGGAGTATAAGGTGGTTCCAACAAGTGCCCAGCTCCAGGGTAAGTCACTAATGAAAAATTCTTCTTGAATTCATCTGGTATGTGCTTCTTCAAATTCTCAACATTAAACGGATTAACACATTGGTCTTCCAGCCCTTGAACAGCCAATATCTTAGCACCATGTTTCCAACCCTGTGAATAGCAAGTATATCATAGTATTTTCATAGCACCATGATGGATACTAACCCTGTGAAAAGCAAATATCTTATCACCATGACAGATGCCAACCTGGTGAAAAACAAAATCTTAGCATCGCGCTGGATGCCAACCCTGTGAAAAGGAAAAGGCTTATAAAGGACATAATGTTTTACACCAATGACCTTTACAAATTTTAAAGTTAGTTACAAACATCAAACTTTCTTACTTGACAGGTTGGGGTAACATCCTGGGGTTGAAACATTTCCCTGAAAGATACAAGGCCATTAACAATTTTGACTTTATCCATTTGAAAGGATGTTGTGTCCACAACTTCCCCCTCTATGGTCTGCTTAGGTCCAAAAGGTCTTGCTATACCATTTATCATGACTAAACATTTGACCTGCCTTGAGGATAAAAATATTTCATTGGTACACCATCAGATATTTTACCTGCCTTGCGGATATAAAAATCACATTGGTATCATTTGTATTACATTTAATACAATTTAAATCAAATTTTAAAACACTTCAAATAAAAGAGAAATGATCAACGGACTGAATTTAAATTTCAAATATCAATTGATTAGTT